ATTCTTTATCCTTACTAGAGATGCTATAAAGAACATTGACTAATTTAAAGTTTGAATAGTTCTGAAGACCGGCTAGGCAGGGAAGATACCGGCTCTCACTTTAGAGTTTTCTCGATTCCCTCCACATGGGGGCTAACACCTCATATCAAAACCTAAAATAATAAACTAAGTTGGGGGCTTTAACCTGTCACATTAAAGTCCTCTAACTCTACACTTTTTATAGATTATTTATCTATTTATTTGCACTCAATCGTATGAATTACATTCTCATCCATGCAATCTCATGTGATTCTTTCCAATTGTTGACTGTGACAATAACATCCCCGTTTTTACATATTCTTACAACAAATTTTAACATCTTGATGGGCCAAATCAAGAAGTAAATGAAGTACATGGAGTTAAATCATCATAACTTCTTCCAACATTAAAGATCAATACTCTCCAAAACTTCCATTTAATATTTTAATTACTTATCATTTTAAGGAAAAAGATAAAGAAAACTTCTCAGAATTCATGGAGAAAAAAAACCACGAATTGAGAAACAAAACCACACTTTAGTTTAAAAGTAGAAATCATTGTCAAACCAACAACAGAAGTCTCAATTAAAACCAAATATAGTAAAAAAAAAGATAAAAACTTATCTGAAATCCTTACCAAACTCTTAAAGTTCCTTTGAATCTCCTCTTCTTACAATACTCTTAACTCTTAAAATAAAACTAGAAACAAAAGGAAAAATAAAGGTAGATTTTTGGTGCCTGAAACTTTCCCCAAAGATGTGCAAATTGCCTATCCAAAAGCCTCCAAGAATTATTTCAGAAACTTCTTTAAAAGTCTCAACTTTCTTCTTTTATAATTTTTTAAGAGGTGTCTTGATATCTCTTCGAAATGGGTCCAAATTCAATGTATTCTCTATGGGATGCCTCCTTCCACAAGTCTTTTAACCATGTTTTCGTTTCTAGTGGTCATAACCACCCTCTTTAGCAACCACCCTAACCACCCTCTTTAGCAAATAGGTGCCTCAAATGTCTCTTCAAAATTCGTCAAAATGAATTAACAAGTCAAGTAACTGTCACTGACGTTTAAGCGCGAGGTAACTGCCACTAGTGCTAAATCTTTGGTGCTTAGGCGCGGCTTTCTCTGTTTCACTAGTGCTTAAGCGCAGGATCTGGAGCTTTGGCAGTCTTTGGTGCTTAGGCGCGGCTTTCTCTGTTTCACCAGTGCTTAAGCGCCGGATCTGGAGCTTTGGCACCAAAATACTTTTGTATAATTTTTGCATTTTTGCTCCATATTTGATCCTTTTTCACTCATTTTGTCATTTTTCATCTGTTTAGTTGTACATGAAGAAAAACACACAAATATCTTCCATTAAAACACAATATCTCAAAAATATGTATAAAAATGTGTATAAAAATACTTTATATTTTTGATGTATCAGACATCTCAAGCGTCATTAGATTCATAATGATAAAACTCAATGAGATCAGTGGTCAGATCATCGATAGCGAGCCTTTGGGCACGTGTAGCCACTATCATGACATGATGGATAACTATTTCAAAGTCATGAAATTCTCACCAAGAAGATCATCCTCATTAAGAAAATCTTCCAGTAAATTGGAATCTTCCCGAGGATCACTCCGAGTCCCTACCTCAGGATTTACTTGATTGGACTTGGGACAAAATCAACTAGAGGAGTGACTACCTCCAAATTTAACTATGTAGTCTTCAAAATGAGAGTTGGAGTCTCAAGAGGCGTGGTGGTAGGGATCTTTCTCACCCACCTCCTTTTCGTCAACATAAGGGGATACTCTTTTATCAAATATTTATTTTTAAATAAAACTTTATCAACATAGGAAAGATTCATTTTATATTTACTTGAAGAAGAGGGGAAAAAGTCAAAACTTCATTCTTTTTATTCTTTGAAAAGGAGTTGCATCAAATGTCAGCGGAGCTGCAACAACAGTATCCAAAACATAATCTGGCACAACATTTGGTGTTGTAGCCTCATGCATTATATCAAGGTCCTTGGTGACTCCTCGACGTGCTCGATAGCGCGCACAATAGAAGGTAGCTATCCAAGTCTCGAAGTGAATCGACATGACGAACCCTGGACTTGTCCTATGAAGACCTCATCAGTATGGGAAATAGGGAAATTCCTACATGACCCTCTTGATGTTTTAGATCCAAGAACTTTTCCTAAAAAAGATGAGCCTTTTTCTCGCGAGGCAACCACTCTCACGATCTTCTTGATTGATTAGGAGATCCTTGGTAGAGCTATCAACATAGATAATAATAATAATAATAATACTTTACAAATGAATTAAAAATTACATTATTTTATATAAATTTGATTGGTTTAAGAAACGGATTTGAGAATCTCAACTCAAATTATAATTTGTGCACATTACAATTACCCTTCCAAGAACTACCACACGATACAAATACAATATTGTTTACGTTTCTTCCCGCAGGAAGCAACCCCAGGATTCATTTTTACATACTATACACATGCCGAGAAACCGGAGCTCCACATCTTCAAAAAGAAACGAAATTTTGCAAAGATGAGACTTGTAATTTTAGAGAAAATAGGACTTTCTTAAAAAAATCCTAGCAACTGTAGCCTATCTATGAGTAAACAGCAATCTCGCCAGAGGAGCGGATAGAGCGGCAGATCTCCAGAATCAACCGGCGCTCAAATTCGGCCGCTTCCAACTTGGCCGGATGAGCTCTAGGGATCCGCCGGTTTATTAGGGCCTCTGCCCCGATCGCCCCCGATAGACCGGATCCCTTCCCGGCTAGCCCAAGCATGGAGTCCACGTAAGCGTCTCTCAGCCGGGCCAGGAGGCGGACCGGCGAAAGCATCTTCGACCGAATCCCAAAGACTCGCCGCAGCCTTATCGGCCGGCGTAGACCTCCGCCGAGTTTGTCCACTTGGACCTTCTTCCCCTTACCGCTTTCCAGCCTCTTATATCGTCGGCGGCGCCAGTAAGAGCGAACAGCTCTGCAAAACTGAACCGGAAAAGCCTCCATAGATCCCTTGTTTCTGTCTAGAGAAGTTCGGTGTGGAGAGGAGGAAAGGGAATGCTGTAGATAAAATGGCCAAGCTTTCTATATATATGATGGTTGTGAAATCAATTAATAAGGACGGTGATTGATAAGAATAATTCGTGGAGAACATGGAGGCATGGACCGAGGGCTCAAAGTCAAAAGTTTGATTTTTCTGGCAGAGGCCATTGACGTGGCTTCTGGAAGTATTTTTGTTGATTTATAATTTGCCTTGCCCGCTAGATAGCATTGTTGAGTGGCCAATAATTGATTGGAGGTTGATGGTGGGCGTAGGGAAATCGAAAAAGGCTTCAAGGGAATTATAAATTTCGGTTTTTATAGAACTGAACAACTTCAAACGTTGAACTTTCAAACTGTTATAAAAATATTAAAATTTAGATCAAAATTTTAAAAATAATTTGGGTATTAGGTTTAAAAAGAGAGTTTAAATATTATATATGCAACCAAACTTCCTCTAGTCTACTTAAGATCTATATATGTACGACTAAGGATGGCCGGCGAATGAAAAATCGAAGGCCCAAAGGCAGAGGACTAAGGGTCCACCAATGAAAGATTAAGCGCCCACTAGCGGAAGACTAAGAGTTTATTAGCAGAATATCAGATGACTTACCTCACTAGGTGTAGTCCCCTTGAACTGGAGCTAGTGGCTTACCAAACCATTTGAACCAAAAACAAAGGCCAATCAAGCTGAGCAGAGAGATCGACTTGTTTTCCACCACAACCTGACTCAAGGGAAGAATTCAACAACATCATCACATATCCAACCAACGCCCATGAGATTCGTCATCTCGGGCCAAAAATTGGCCATAACAAAATCACATAGAGCATCTTGAAGGATCTCATTGTCAAAGATTGAGCTAATCATTTGATTACCGTGATTCACAATTTCCCGATGGCTAGCCCTGCTCTACCGATAGGAGTTCCTTGTTCAGGAATCAATGATTGACAACTTGACTAGAATAGCTAATCGGCAAAGCTAAGTTGATCGAATCAAGTATTGTCGACCCGAACACCATCAAGGGTCAACTGGCAACCCCTGATTTAGCACAATTGGATGAACAATCTTGTCGAACCGAGACTATGTGATTTCTGTCAACTGAGTCATAGGATAGCCTAGCACCTATATATGTAAAATAGCTAAAAAATCTTGAAACGCCCACTTTAAAGTAAGGCTAACATGTAATTTTAAATAAATTGGGTAAAGAAATGATTAATCAACAATTCATCTTATTGTTTATTATTGTGCACTTCTCTCTCAGTATCTCTCCCTCTCTCTCATCTGTCTTATACTATATTTCCTGAGGTAGGTGTGATTCACGAATAGATTCAATTGCAACATCCTAAAATGTGTGGTGATCATGGATCATGACACATATAAGATGTGTAGCACACTGAGAAGAAAATCCAAATAGAGACACTACTAACATGGAGTGCGCTAGGGAGTTTATGCATCAAACGATTCAAGTGTTGAAAGACAAGATGATGGATGCCCTCGAAGAAGCATTGGCTCGGGAAGGGGAGTAGAACCTTCTAGTGGAACAACCAACATCAAATAGTCAAAGGAATCCTTGCTTGTCAAAAGGGAAGGAGATTCACAGTACATTAACAATCCTGAGTCGACAACAACAGATGGACAACAAATTGGGTGCACTGAGGCGCACCAACAGTTAGAGAACACATTCTCTTAGATGTTTTTTAGAGTTGAGTCCCCATAAAGATTTAAAACTCCAACATTAGATTTATACAAGGTTCAAAATGATCCAATCGACCACATATGCTCCTTTAAATCAACTGCCTGCTTGTTGAATATCACAGACCCTTTGAAGTGCCAACTGTTCTCCATCACATTATGGGAGTCGATCCTTTGGTGTTTCAATGGATGGTCACCAGATGTGATCACCTTGTCTTCTGATTTCAAGAAAATACTATTAGCACAGTTCACCAGTAAAGAGAAACCCTAGAAGAGTTCACAAGCCCTCTTACAGAAAAGACATGGGTAAAATAAGGACCTCTGCTCATTTGTCACTCGATTCTAAAGAAGATGCTGGAGGTGCGGGATATGGAACCTGAAATAGCACACATCACTCTTATGAAAGGGTTGAAGGAAGCTTATTATGGTTTGCATGGGCGACTGTGGACCCTAGGGACCAAGCGTCCTAGGGGAATTTTTGGGAGATAACCAATAACCACATATGGATTAAAGAGTACAATACCACACTCGCTTCCGTTAGAGTAAAGTCTTTTGCTGATTGTCTACAGAAGAGGGTCCCTAGAGATGATAGGTGGAGACTGAGGGATGACTCACATTCTTCTGATTGCCCATGCAATGAAGACAACTAGCTTCCCAAGGACTACAAGTGAGACAACAGGCTCTATAACCACCAGAGTCAGACCCAATACCCTAACTAGAGGCCAACTATCTCATGGATTCCCATGAGATTCCTCATTCAGGACTGAGATCTGGTCCAAAAATAATCACATAGAGCATCCTAAAATATCTCCTCATCAATGAGTGAGCTACATATATGATTATGGTGATTCTCCTCTACTCGATAGCCTAGTTTTGCTTGACCTACATGAGTTCCTTTGTAGGGATCAATGGTTGGCAACTAACTAGAATAGCCAACAGAAACAACTAAATTTATCAAGTTAAGTTCTGCAGACTAAAAAATAATAAAGGCTGACTGATAAGCCCGATTCAAAATAGTTAGATGAAATGGTCTTTCCAAACCTTGACTGGCCAATTTCAACAGACCGAGTTATAGGATAGCCGAACTGAACGATGCATAATATTTTAAGTAATTTACACACACACACACAAGCGCGCGCGCTGTGTGTGTGTGTGTGTGTGTGTGTGTGAATGATTGTGTGAGTGTCACTGTGTGTGTAAAAATACCTAAAAAATTCTATAATGCCACCATTAAAGTAGTAGCAGACATATAATTTCTTATATTGTTCCCCTTCTCTATAAATAGGGAGATCATTTCAAGCGAAATGACTAATCAACGATTCAATTTATTATTTATTACTATGCACTTCCTTCTTTGTCTCTCTCCCTCTCTCTCATGTCTTATAATTTATTCATTGGGTGTGATTCACTGATATATTCAGATTCAATAATACAAGGTGTTGCATAATAAATGGAAGGATGCAATGATGTTTAGTAGGCATAAAAATAGTATTTTAATTTACCATATAAAAAAAAAACCTCAATCGAGGCCTCATTGTTATGCTAATAATATTATTTTCTACTTAATGCAAATGAGAATTTTAATAGGGAACAAGCTAAATAATTGAGGTTGCCACAAGTTACTAATAAATGAAAAATTTTTATGGTAAAATAGAATAGTATAATATCACTCATCGTATATAAGTCTTCACTTAGAATTTTTAGGGGAATATAATTTTATCATTTATTTCTATATAATAATTTGTTTTTATAGGAAATTTTTATTTTTAATTTGAAATTTAGAGTAAAAGTAATAATTTTATCATATAATATATGGTGATAACTAATCATTGAATTCATAAGGTTCAACATAAATATTGATGGAGAATTTGGATATCATATTGCACTCAAATTGTTTAAATCACACACACACACACACACACAGATATAATATATATATATATATATATATATATATAGAAGGGGGGAAATTATTCATGAAATTTTGGGTTACAAATTTTAAGGTAAGGGACATTAAGTAGGTCCCCACCCAAAATAATAGAAAGAGAAGAAGGGGGAGGGGGGTAGTGGAAACAAGCGTCAAATTAGAGGCATTCCCAAGTTTAGCCAACCAGTTAGCCGAGTGATTGCCCTCTCTGTAAATAAAAGCATAGAGAATAGGAGAGGAAATTCACAAAGCTTTGATCTTCCTAAGCTAGTGAAAAATATTCCATGGATGACTATCCTCAACTGTGAGATCCCTCAGAAGTAAAAAAGAATCCATCTCCCCCTGTAAATTGTCCCAATGGTTGAAAATTGCCAGCTTTATAACCCAAAAGACTACTGCCACTTCAGATTCCAAAGCATCCTTAATAGTGATGGGAGAGTAGAAAAAAAGGAGACACTTGCCAACATGGTCCCTAAAAACACGCCCTATACCTTCTCCTTGCTCATAAAAGCTCCCATCAGTGTTAGCTTTAATAAATGAGGGGTTAGGCCTTAACCAAAGTACCAGAGAAACCTCAAATTTAGGAGGGAAACTATGTTAGAAGGTATTGCAGATATTAGGAAAGTTCTTGTGAAAGATCAAATTAAGGAGGAATGGCTTACAATTTGCTGCAATATTCAAAGTAGTAATAGGGTAACTCTCAAATTTACACTGATTCTTGGCCATCCAGATGAACCCAACAAGAATAATGGGAATGGGTCCTAGGTTTTCTCTAACCCAATCAGTCCAGCAAAGTGTTAACTAATGCCAATACAACAACAATGTATTAATAGTTAAGCACCTGATGAATTCAGTCCAGACATTTTGGGTGAAAGAGCACTGAATGAAGAGGTGGCCAGGGAATTCTTCTGCATGCTTACATAACCAACACCTAGAAAGGACCCTCAGCCCTTCTAATTTAAGGATATCATCAATAGGCAGAAGATTGTGGAGAATTCTCCAACCTAAGAAAGACATGGAAGGACTGAGGATTTGTTCCATATATATATATATATATATATATATATTAAAAAAAGGTGAAATCGATATTTGGTCCAGTGGGCATATATATATATATATATATAGAGAGAGAGAGAGAGAGAGAGAGAGAGAGAGAGCTTAACCTCATACATATATCAATAGATACATAGTTGGGGAAATTTTACTTGGGGGGAGTCTGTATGGTGTAAGTTCCTTACACCTTCTATGTGCTTCTTCTATTGGAGATTGTTTCTGAACCTACTCCCTAATGATGAAATTCTTAAACTTAAAGGGTTGAGGGGCCCTTCTTGATGCTTTCTCTCTAAACTGGAGGAAGAGACTTTGAATCATTTATTCTTTGACTACTCTTTTGCTCAAGAGGTGTGGAAATCATTAATTGAGAAACTCTCTATCAACACCCTCAATTTAAGCTGACACACATTTAGCACTGCCCATGGTTATCAAACTTTCTCACCCTTAGATCTTTAACAATCCTTGAATGAAGCCTAATTACATATAAAAAAAAA